TCGAGATTATGGAGAACAACTGCACGAGTATTAAAATTCATGAAAATCATATCAAAGGAGAAGTTCACATGTTTGAAGGATGTATCAAAGAAACCATTAATAACAACGTTGGATCGTGAACCAGCCATGAGAGTCCTAATCACTCAAGCACAGTTAGAAGAAATGACGGAAAAAGAGATAGTAAAATGGAAAGTATATTATCACGAAATCGATCACTATTGGAAAGTTAGAAACAGATTTGATGGAAGAACATTCCCAGGTAGCCCACATTTAATCCATCTTCCTAGACACAACCGTACAGTCGAACTTCTAATACAAAAAAAAACACGAAGATTTATGTCATGCAGGAATCGCCCACACCTTATCAGAATTAAAAAGAGCATTTTGGATACCAAAGGGTAGAATTGAAATTAAACGAGTATTAAACAAATGTATGTTATGTAGAAGATGGAGTGCTAAACCATTCCAGTTGCCCGTGATGCCGAATTTACCTGAGAATCATATTACACACACGCGAACATTGAAAATATTGGATTGGATTATTTGGGTCTCCTTTCTATTAAAGTCGAAGATGACATAAGTAAAAGGTTGGTAGCCTTGTTTACATGTTTCACAAGAGCAGTACATTTAGAAGTGGTTGATGACTTATCCTCTGAGAGTTTCATGTATGTACTAAGATTTAGTGCTCGAAGAGGTTATCCTAAATTGATTCTCAGCGATAATACTATCCAATTTCAATTAGTTTTTAGGACTATAATGAAATATACTGTCAAGATAAGAGAATTTTTAACAGAGAAGGGAATAACTTGGAAGAGCATTACACCAAGAGCTCCGTGGAATGGAGTAGTGTATGAAAGACTTATTGGTCTAACAAAAAAAGCCATGAGAAGAGCTACTGGAAGGAAATTGTTACGGGAGAAGGAATTGATCACATTAATTGTAGAGGTAGAAGGTATATTAAATACTCGTCTTTTAAAATATTTAAGTTTCGATGATTATACAGTTATACGCCCAATTGACTTTATATCACCAAATTCTTACAAAATTTTCACGATGATGACCAAGATGAATACGTCCCCAATAGAATGAGTACACAAGAAAAATACATTTTGGGAAATATGGAAAAGGGAATATCTCACTAGCTTAAGAGAAAAAACCCAAATAAAATACAACCCCCTAGAATTCTAGAAGCAAGAGAACCCCGAGAGAAAGAAATTGTACTGGTTAATGAACCGGAAGTCCTCCGTGGTATGTGGAAATTAGCAAAGATAAAGGAAATTAAAAGAGGAAATGATGGAAAGGTTAGGAACGCTATAGTAGAATTGCCGCATGGGAAATTAATCAATCGACCAGTAAATGTGTTGTAACCGCTTGAAGTTGATGGTAATAGAGATTCACAACTTCAATCATCAGTATCAGAAGAATCAATTCGAGAATTGGAGTCAAAGAAACAACCCATTGCTTCAAGAACCAGGAATGCTACAAAGAAGCAAAAATCGACGAATTGACAGGAATCATGAAACACTGCAGGTGACCACCGTTGGTATAATTATCAGGAACTTTCAAATGTCGCGAAATTCCAAAATTATAAAAGGTCAAATGTTTCATGGATATATATATATATATATATATAATATATATTCATAGATATTGTAATAATATTGTGTCTTAATACATGTTCATATGCGTCAACTATAATGTTCCTGTTTAAACCAAATAGCACAGTCAAATGATTCATTTTGTACTTGCATATGCGTTCCCATCCTTGCCTCCAATTATTATATTACATGATCTCCCTTGCTCTTATATCCTCCAATATCTCTTTATTTTCCCACGTTATAATACACACATATACTTTGCCTATATAAGACATCAAATCTTCATTCATTCATTCGTTCCTTCTTCTTCCGTTGGGGTTATGCGTTTGGTTTTTTTTCGCTTACTGTTTTTTTATTATTGCTATGATTTAATTACCCAAGTTTGAGGTTCTTATAAACGGTCAAATGATTCCTACTGTCCACATAGATACACACACACACACACACATACCAAAAAGGCAATTTATTTTCGCTAGACATATACCTTTCCGGGAACTGGAGTTCATGGGTATCTAAGAACAGCATAACTCTCAAAATCATGACAAGGCGTTAGAACATTTCAAGAAAGCATATCCGAACAAAATGAGAGATACCAAGTCTGCTGGCAGTAGAAACAGGCGAACGTCAAGTTGAGGAGCAGCTAAGACTTATGTTTTGATCGCATTAATCAAACGATTGCAGAAGGATGAAAAGCTGCTTCATCAAGAAGACAAAACAATCCGGGATCAATTACGTTCAGGAATAATCATAGAAGTTCATCCGAACATGAATCAAGGAGGTACGATTCATTACCTACCTCACCATGAAGTTATGGCTCCACATAAACCTACAACAAAACTCAGAATTATCCATGACGCTTCCGCACACCTGAAAGGTACAAAAAGCTTGAATGAAGTCCTTTATCGTGGATCCATCATGTTTCCAGATTTAGTAGGAATATTACTACACTTTCGAATGATGAAGAATGTAGTTATTGCCGATGTGAAGAAGGCATTCTTACAACTGGAACCCCATCCTTCAGATAGAAAATGTACCTGATTTCTTTGGTTAAAAAATATTCATGGTACAGTTACCGAGGAAAACCTGAAGCATTATCGTTTCAAAAGGGTTCCCTTTGAGTAATGTCTTCACCCTTTTTACTGTCAGCGACGCTTAACTATGACCTAGAAATTAATGAACAAAAACCGTATTAGAAATCAGAAGAAATCTCTATGTGGAATGGGCAGTATTATACTATTAGCAACAGAGGAAGCCTTGCAGAAATATGACGAGGTGAAATCCATTTTTGAGGATGCGGCAATGAATATATGAGAATTTCCGTCAAATGACGACGAGAACTTGAATATCAAAATTTCCGAATAAGATCGAGCGGATATAGGAGAAAAAAAAAAACTCTTGGTGCCACTTGGGGTCATGTTAGGGACACCATCCAATGAATCCTAAAGCCATGGCTTGGAAAAACATTAACTAAGAGGGTGATCTTACAATTCGCGGCCTCTCAATATGATCCATTGGAATGATGATCTGATTCAAATTATTCTTGCAAAGTCTATGGAAAAAGAATAATGCTTGAGATAAAGCCGTAAGCGAAGATTCGTATCGGAATGGCCAACAAATACAAAAGAACTTCTGGATTCATAACAACTTTCTCAAACCAATTACAAATCCATGTCTTCACAGATGTGAATGTGGCATATTCTGCTGCTGCAATGTTCGAAGTCATGGAATTCAAGGGACAAAAATATCCCTAGTATTTGCTAAATTTCGGGTCCCCTAAAGCAGTTGAGCTATTAGCAATACTTACTGGGTACGAGTAGCACATTTTGTCGTGAAGCAATTGGGGCTGAAGACATATCGACAATGCTATGGTCCGATTCCAAGCGCGCACTACACTGTGTTCAAAACTATTTAAGCTATTACCAAAATTCGTACAAAATCGGGTAAAGGAAATACGGAAAGCGAAATTTCTGTTCCAATACATACCAAGTAAATATAATTCCGTCGATATTGCAAAAGACTATCTCCAAGAAAACTTGGAAGATATGAGCTGTGATGAAAGGGACCATGATGGTTAAAAGAAGACGAATCCAACGGGCTACAATGGGAATTCAATTTCGTGGAAAAGACCGAAGGACCAGAAGAGAAAACTGTCGCAAAAGTTACAACTCATATCAAAGAGACTTAGTCGTTTTAGCAAATGGCTAAAATTATTAAGAACGGCCATATGGGTTCTCAAGTTCATAAAAATAACGACAGGAGGAAATGTTAGTTGGCTACAAATTCTATCAACTATGAAAGATCGACTAACAAACGAAGACTACAATTTGGCAGAATGGGTGTTGGTTATTCAGGCATAAACAAAGGAGTTATCGAAGGAGAAATGGAATTTATATCGTGATGATCAAATTTATAACGATTTCAGAATCGATTGGAGAACTCTGAATTAGAGGATGGCAATAAACACCCTGCTTATCTTCCAAGGCACAATCTAATAACTGAGCTTCTCATAAAACTATCATGAAACTTGCTCCATGCTGAAATTGGACATACGCTTGCGGAAATGCGGTGTAAGTTTTGGATACTTAAGAGCAGAAACGAAATTAAACAAGTTCTGAAAAGTGTATGACTTGTAAACGGTAGTCACGTTCAAGCTACCAACCATGCCCAATCTTCTAGGAAATCGGGTAAATCGCTCCAGAACTTTTGCACATTAGGCCCAGATTATCTGAGTTCCTTATCTGTCAAAAATGATAGCGATGTAACCAAAAGATGGATATGTCTATTCACACGTCTTACAACGAGATCGGTGCATTTATAGCTAGTAGACAACCTATCTACTAAAAGTTTTTTGCACATACTAAGAAAATTCATTGCACGATGAGGATGTCCTCAATCAGTTTTGAGCGACAGTGCAAGCCAATTTCAATTAGTTTTCAAAACTATTATGAAACGGGATATCGAACTAATAAATTTCGTCGCAAAAAGGGAATGGTTTTGAAGAATACAGTACTAAGAGCCTCATGGAGCAGAGGAGTTTACGAAAGAATCATTGAATCAAAGAGCTAAAAGAGCTATGTTGACAGAATTAATAACGCTAGTGGTGGAAATCAAAGGCTCAATAACTGACCTCCAACTTACATAAACTTTGATGATTATATAATTATACATCTAGCTGATTTCATCTTCCCCAATGCCTTTCTGATTATTCCAATTGCTAACGACAACTATCGAGAAGAATTTACTCCTTACAAATTAAGTACCAAAAAAAAACTTGTTACGTATTTTAGTCAAACATACTCAAAGCCTCGGATACATTTTGAGAAATATGGAGAGGCGAATATTTAACAAATCATAGAAAACGAACTCAAAGGGAATATGCCTTCCAGACAAATGGAGAAGCAAGAACCTTTGAAGGAAAAATTGTCTTAGTCAACGAACCAGAAGTTCCCTGTGGGACGTGGAAGTTCGCCTGAATAAAAGGAATTTAAAAAGGAAGAGATGGAGAGGCAAAAAATACTATCATGGAAATTTCATATGGGGAACTTCTCAATATACCAGTAAATGTTTTATATTCTCTAGAAATTGACTCCAACTCAAGAATCAATCTTCAATGTTCGAGAAGAAATCGGTCAAGAGAAACCTACTGCTGAAGTGCGACAAGACAGCGGCAGAACTCAAACTTTTCCTCTCAACAATTTCAATTCCCCCACTCGGGAATGTCGGGAAACGCCCTTGATTAAAGCCCCTATTAACCAATCGTTAGGAATTGGATCATTCATCTTTAAACACAGTTCATATCTTCCTTCGAATTTCAATTATAGTTGTCGTGGAATACCAATCTGCTCTCCCAAATCAAAAAAAAAATATTTTAACGACATTATCCAGCAAAATCTGTAGTATAGGAAATATGTATGATTAACTTGGTGTTGTTGTGAAAGTTGGTTTGTTTTGAGGAGGATTATAGG